CCCCTATGGACAAGTTCAATAAAATTTGAACCCCTAACACCCAGAAATTTATGCCTTATCCCTCGGAAAAAAAATCAAAGGATGACGATGCACACAACCCCTCAGAAACGGGGGGGGGGGGGGTGTACATTGAATGGAATGGCCCTAACTAAATTGTAAAATGACTAATTTATACCTCCTTAATTAGAGAAGATTTCAATTCCAAACCTTTCTTTTTAGTCTGTGTGAGGGACACTGCAAAATATATTTTCGAAATTTATCAATGGGCTATTTAAACATATAATATTTCGTGAAGCAGATGGTCGTGAACCTACATAAGCTGCATTTATCAGAGTGAGAAGAAATAATGTTAATTCTTTTTGTAAAAATATGGAGTAGTCTTGTATTAATATAGATGCCTTGTTTACATTTTGCTGGCAAACAAATTCCGATTAAACAAAAGATTATGTTCTCCATTGTGATTGCGACAATGCATAGCTCTCTTGGGAGCTTTTAAAAAACTCCTGCCTACCAGCATTAAAATGTAAGCATGGCAAGGGGTCCAGTTAAGATGTTCCAAGTTTTTCAAAGCTGGTCAAACTTCACTATATAAGTAGTAAAACCCACTATAATACTGATTAGATTAAATTTAATCGATCAAGTTATGTTTATACTTACCTAGCTTATTTCTCTTCGATTTGGGCATGTTCGAACTGTATTTTTAGAAAATCAAAATTTTATCAAAAAAATATTTTTTCAAAGACAACAAATATTTTTCGCCACGTGCTTTTCCTAGATGGTTACCCTTATTATCCCTACGAGTCCATACAAATATTACCCCTTATTGCTGGTATAAATCCCAAAATGTACTAAGATTATATCCAGAAATGTTCACAGATATACTTATAGCATATTAGATATCCCTCGGTGTCCTATTGAGAAAATTTTCTTCGAAATCGCAATGAATTCGAAGTAAATTTGAAATTGTACTCGCTTGCCCTACTAAATTTAATTTTAATGGTTTCATTCTAGGAATTAGAAAGGTAAACCAAGGTAAAGATGGTTCACAATGATTTTTGCAAAAAAATAAATGAGAATGATAAAATACCAGAATAATCGGATGGAATGCATGATGATTTATGCAAAAATTGGAAACACGCGCACAATAAAATGTCTGTATTTTAGTCTTCCCAATTCATCAATTTTTATAGCCAACGTTTTATAAATATTTGCAGCAAAATACATTAATTTAGGCTTATATAAATTACTTTCAGTGAAGAAAATTGACGATAAATTAGAAAAATATTTTGTCAAAAGTTGAAAATATTAGGGAAAATATTGGTCATGGTGGAAACACATGCGCGCAAAGGAAGCTGGGATTGTTCTTGCACCACGTTCTTTTTTCTCCAAACTTTATGATCATGAGGTAAAATTTGTAAAATTATCGTTTATTTTTGTCGATTTTCTCACCGAATATGCCACTGTTCTCTGCATTTTATTGCCCAGAATTGTTAATTACAACGCTTTCAAAGTTTTGAGCTGTTTTAGGAGGTTTTAGGACGGTTTTAACGGGGTAATTTAAACGTCGATTTTGTTGGATAGTTTGTATTCGGCCATGTTTATAATAGTCGGCCATGTTTATAATTGTTGTCCTGAGATAGTGAGATAGTATGATGTATCATCTGAAGTATCATCCATTTAACAGACTGTCCGTGTTATTATAAACACAAGATAAATTATAGATGGGCTACCGAGAATAGCTTGATCTAAGCTGGCAATGTATTTAAATTGATACTACCAAATACTGAAATACATAATGCATATCATTTTGAACCACTCTTGCCTGCTATTAAGCCGGCCATTCTTGACTTTCTCATGTCAGATTGGTGTGCAATGTAGGCAAAAATTAAACCCTGAAGTTGTCTAAGGCCAACTGTTGTTATGTGTCAATTTTTGGTCCTGGGCTTCAGGGACATTGAACTTAGGGATTTAAACATTTGAGCACAGTTTCTATATGACATTTTTACAAGGCTCTTCAACAGCCACAAAAACTGAATGATGAATTGTATTTTGATACTAAATCATCTCATTCAATGAATTTTTTCTGTGTTGGTGTAATGTACTCAGAGTACATCGATATTGAAGTCGATGTCAAAGTATAATGTACTCAGATTACTAGATTACATCGATATCGAAGGAACTAGACTCAGTTCCGAAATATCACATACTCGAACCGACCTGACCGCATAGCTCAGTTGGCAGAGCATTGAGCTAGTATTCCAAAGGTCGTAGGTTCGATTCCCACCGTTGCCAGGCATTTTTCAAGCTTGCCCGGTGTGGATATGCACTCAGAGTAACATCACAAATATCATCTCATTCAATGTTTTGTGGCAAAAAAATAAAGTTGTTTGATTTAAATTTGTGATGAGGACATCTAAAAAGTGGAGGGGGTTTGAGTTCCAATTTCTTCTGTGGGCGAGGTGTAGATGTTTTGTGGAATGAACCATTTATGAGTGCTTCATCTTGTTTGTTTAGTACTCTGAAGTTACAAAAACGGCTCGCAGCCAGTGTTATGAAATGTGGCAAACGCAAGGTCTGGCTTGATCCTAACGAGGCAAATGAAATCGCCAATGCAAATTCTCGTAAGTAAGAAACTTGGGGTTATTCATATTGTTATACATATTACCTGACTGTATATGGATAATTTCAATCAACTCTGCTAGCCAATGATTAAAACCTCGCTGTTCACATACTGATTGTTTGTGATGATCCTTACCTACTATGAGGCTAGCTTATTTAGATGTTGATGTGTACCTTTCGGAAAGCATTAATGTGTTACCACTGAAAACAGTCAATGGACAGATAATTCGGTTAATTCCATTTTTGTGGAGTTTTCCCCATTAGAAAACTGAGTTTTGGCATTTGAAAAGGCAGTTCTGGCATTTGAAAAGGCAGTACTGGCATTTCAGATTACAAATTCATTAACGCTTGAACAGTCGTTCCAAAACTCCGTTTTCAAATGCGAAAACTCCGTTTTCATATGCTAGAACTCTGTTTTTAAATGCCAAAACTCTGTTTTCAAATGCCAAAACTCCGTTTTCAAATGCCAAAACTCCGTTTTCAAATGCCAAAACTCCGTTTTCAAATGCCAAAACTCCGTTTTCAAATGCCAAAACTCCGTTTCAAATGCCAAAACTCTGTTTTCAAATGCCAAAACTCTGTTTTCAAATGCCAAAACTCCATTTTCAAATGCCAAAACTCCGTTTTCAAATGCCAGAACTCTGTTTTCAAATGCAAAAACTCTGTTTTCAAATGCAAGAACTCTGTTTTCAAATGCAAAAACTCTGTTTTCAAATGCAAGAACTCTGTTTTCAAATGCCAAAACTCTGTTTTCAAATGCCAAAACTCTGTTTTCAAATGCCAAAACTCTGTTTTCAAATGCCAAAACTCCGTTTTCAAATGCCAGAACTCTGTTTTCAAATGCCAAAACTCCGTTTTCAAATGCCAAAACTCTGTTTTCAAATGCCAAAACTCCGTTTTCAAATGCCAAAACTCGTTTTCAAATGCCAAAACTCTGTTTTCAAATGCCAAAACTCCGTTTTCAAATGTCAAAACTCGTTTTCAAATGCCAAAACTCCGTTTTCAAATGCTAAAACTCTGTTTTCAAATGCCAAAATTCAGTCTTCAAATGCCAAAACTCTGTTTTCAAATGCCAGAACTCCGCTTTCAAAATTATCGCTGATTAGCTGTTCAGGGGGCATGGTTAATTATTTCTCTATGTTTGCCCCAAGGCCAAAATGTCCGCAAGCTCATCAAAGACGGCTTGATTATAAAGAAACCTCAAATCGTACACAGTCGATCACGTGTCCGCAAGGCCGACGAAGCTCGACAAAAAGGCCGGCACATGGGCTATGGTAAGCGTAAGGGTACCGCGAATGCCAGGATGCCGGAGAAAGTTATTTGGATGCGGCGTATGAGGGTTTTACGACGTCTTCTTAGAAAGTACCGCGAATCGAAAAAGATTGATGTACATATGTACCATGCTTTGTACCTGAAAGCCAAGGGTAACATGTTCAAGAATAAGCGTGTACTCATGGAATTTATCCACAAGAAAAAAGCTGAAAAGGCCAGGTCTAAATTGCTCAGGTGAGTGCTATGATTAGGTTTTAACAAATCAGCCTTTGATTTGTTATTGCCATTAAATATATTCGATTCACTCCAGCAACAGACTTACCGACATTAACCCATTAAGCTGCAGCGCTTCTCCATTGACGAGTAGAATCGTCTGGTGGTAGACAAGTAAAAAAAATAAGTAGAGCGCATTGTGGCTCAATGGGTTAACTAGAGACATTGTCAGATTTTTTGGTTAACCCATTAAGCTGCAGAGCTTCGCCATTGAAGAGTAAAATCGTCTGGCATTAGACAAGTAAAAAAAATAAGTGCGGCGCATGCGGATCAATGGGTTGATATCAAATGAAGTTGATAATTTGTTGCCGCCATCCGGTAATAATGTAAATCTGATGTGCTTTTCTTCACACAAGCATCTTCATTCTTGCCTGCTATTAAGCCGGCCAATCTTGACTTTCTCATGTCAGATTGGTGTGCAATGTAGGCAAAAATTAAACTCTGAAGTTGTCTAAGGCCAACTGTTGTTATGTGTCAATATTTGGTCCTGGGCTTCAGGGACATTTCAGTTCAAACATGTTGACAAAATGCAATACAACAAACAAAATTAAACCTGTCATACCAGTGGACCAATAAGGACAATCCCTTACAGTTACTCAACATAAGTAAGTCGGTCTGGTCCACACTAGAAATTTTGTTGGTGAGTCAACTCGAACACACAAAAGTGTAGAGTTGCTTTTCAGAAGTAAACAACATGTCATTCATTCAGTTGGACTACCTAAATAGGTAGTCCAAGAACCAAAAAAAGTGGTATGGTACCAAAAATCGAGCGTAGTGTAAATTTGAGCCCCGTTCACACTACGCTCGATGTAAAATTGGTACGGGTACCAATTTTATCCGTGCCGTACCAAAAATTGAGCGTAGTGTAAACGGGGCTTAAGTCTAAGATAGAGTTATCCAGTATAAATAGAGGTAGTTTTGATTTCCTCATTCAGTAACAGTGGGTGAAAAAGGATTCCCCTTCTGGGCATCCAGGAAGACGAGTTTAGAAATGGAAGAGAGAGCTATCCAGTTTAGTTTAAAAGGTGATGAACAGTTCTTAATTTATTTATGTTCTTGCAGTGATCAAGCCGAGGCTCGTCGCCAGAAATCTAAAGCAGCAAGACAGAGGCGAACGGAAAGACAAGCCGAGAAGCAAAAGGAGCTGTTGAAGGCTGCGGACGACAAATAGACTTCATTAATATAATGGAAGAAATAAATATGAGGGAAAAAATACATCACTTGTAGTTGTGTTACACAATCTTGTCTGGTTGTTTCTGATTTACTGTGTATTTTGCAATATACGGTTGTCTGATTTTGTCTGTTGTCAGAAGCGTGCTCAGGGGTTGAAATGAACGGGCGCCAAATCGCGATCAACTTTTTCATCTGCCGACCAGGTCAAAGGCGCGGCTCTTGTGGTGGTTGGGAAGAACTTCAAATAATAAAGAAATTCTAAAGCCTTAAAATAAGAGGGAAATAAAGAAACTTTATTTAATGAGGGTAACATTATTAATAGTTCCCCCAGTAGTTTACATAATGCCCTCAAAAAAAACTCCGTGATCAAGCATATCATTCTGCTTTTGCATATAATTTGCCAACATATAAAACAACTGTTTCGTCTGTTTGTTATATTATCTATCTACAAAGAGAAGACTTCATGATACATTGATTTAGGGATATCTTATTCTAGTAGCCACTTGGGCATCTAAATTTTTTTTAAATTTCAACCCTTGGTACATCCAATCCAGGTAACTACCAAACAATTCTGTTTTTGTAGTTGTTTTTCTCCCTCATTGAAAACTTGACCAAAAGCTGGCCAATGATTAAAATCTTTGCTGTTCACATACTGATTGTTTGTGATGTGAACCTTACTATGAGTATGAGGCTAGCTTTTTCTCCAGTAATTATATATGCACGTCCCAATCGGTACCAATATGCACGTCCCAAAGGCATCTATATAATATAAGGCTGATGCCTGCGAAATAATTAATGTAATAACGGCTTATTGACCGAGCGTGAGGTCTCTACTGTGAAATATCAGACCGAGGTTTTTTCGGTATGGACCGAGCGACGAAGGAGCGAGGTCCATGCAAAAAACAGAGGTCTGATATTTCACAGTACAGACCGAACAAGCGAGGTCAATAATCGGTTTATTATATGGCTGAACTGAGTCTGTGAGCATATGCTTTTCGCGCGAATTAAATCGGCTATCGTCAGTTTCACTGGGTAACAATATACGGTAGGCATGCATGCTCAATCAAAAACAATTTGGTTGTTTGAAATTTTTATCTGTAAATTTAAATGACACACAATTGAAAATTAAAAGCAAAAATATTTTCTGTTTGCAAAGCAAAATTTCCTGATAGATAAAAGACATCCGGGATATCGGTCCAGATACGGAAAATACGGACCACGGTTCGGATATGGGATTTTACGGACCGCTTGTCAACCAATCAGAATAGAGAATTTTGAAAAGCCATATAATAAT